CATGAATGCCCGGGGAATCGAGGATGGTAGTGGTTCTCTTTGGGAAAGGGTGCAGCCGGAGAATTTGAAGCCGATATTGAAGATGGGTGAGGATGGGATGCAAGGGCGACTTTGAATCTTTTCCGCACACTGGGCTCTACTACTGCAAGGTACTCACCACTGCACAATGGATTGGATATAACTTATTTACATGAGCATAACAGAATTTTCCGTCTCCTACTATGTTTGTACGTCTTTGAATTCGTGCTTTGGGCAGATTTGTATCACGCGTGTACTTCCCCCGTAGTCGCATTACCGCACCAGTTGACCACTAGTTTCCAGTGGCTGCCCACATGCACTGAATGTGGAGCGCATATTTGTCAGTCTAGACTTCTATTTTCGTGCTTTTCGTACCGCAAGATTCTTTGCTACTTGCTTTGGCTGGCTGGAGCTTGACCATCGCCGTCACAATATGCTGCATCATACTGCTTTATCTTATCGATAATAGACAGGACGTCCCCGATTAGAGTCAAATAACCCCAATGTATTGTAACAGCAAGCTATGTATTACAATTCCTAAAAGCTCATTCTAGAGGCTTACATCGTTGGTTTTTCTGACCCCAATTAGATTGGGCGTTTGTCCGGTGCCCCTTCTGTTCCGATACGGAACATGCACAACTATGAAACAAGGAATGGAGCTTATTATCAGATCCGAAGCATCCGCGGTCCACCTAAGTGCTAATGGGTCGTTTTTTCCAAGTGTGTAAAGCTCAGGACTAGGAGAAGACAGCACGCGAACAGGGTGCGGAATTTTGTCAAAAAGGTTGCTCTAGCTTGTTGCCAATGACAGTTGCCAGAAAAGCGCTGGATGCCAAAACAACATCTTCCTCTGTGTCCGTTAATACAGTACTGTAACATAGCCTTCTCTTGAACATGGTCAAGAGCCCCTCGGGCATAGTTGTGCTTCTTTTCCTCTTCTTTTCAATGGGCATTCCAACCTGGAAGCTAGTCATCCTGACATGTACATATAGAGCCAGTAGAACCACGAAATCCTACTTCCCTAAACTCTGTTTCATCGTCATAAACTGTCATTCACTGGGATTTGCTGTACGGGAATAATGGGACAAGTTGATGATGAAATTGGTGAGTTCGATTATCTTCGATACCTGTTGTCGGCGTTGATAATCTGTTCAGACTATGATTTAGATCTAGATCTTGAGTCCATCTGGAGAGAATTTCCCAATATGCCGACACCGCTACCTCGCCCTGCACAAAATTGCAGCACTCTCTGTTTAAATCAATCGCTCAACAGATGGTCAGAGGATACTCAACATGGGAATAAGAGGGCTTCTGTCATCGAATGCGCCTTTTACCCCAGCTTTGAGAACGTCTGCGCCTTCAATTGGACGCGGCCGGATCCATTATCTCAAATCACTTGCGCCGATGATATTTTCCTTTATATATCTGCCTTTATGAGAGCCCCAGTCGGAGCTTGGAGGTGCACCCCACTACCGGCAATGATTTTTAATCTCAAAATCACAGAATTCCCTTTCATTGCGGGCGGATGTGGGGCGTTGTCAAAGCCAGTGGGCTGTATGAATAACATAAAATGTCCCTGACCAGCCTCCATCTACCTACACGTTCGTCTTCATTCAAATATTCCTTAACATTGCGTACCTACCCTTTACCTTACGATTGATTCCCGTCATCCAGGGATTTAATAACATCCGCAATGGTCTCGTTCGAGAATGTTCTGCTCATTGGGGTACGTCTAATCACTTGTCCTGCATCGTTGCGATCGCTCTAACGCTTCCGCTCCACCAATATCCTGTTCAGAGTAATCATACCGTAAATAGCTTGTTGACAAACACCGCACGTATAATAGGCGGGCAGAAACCTTGGCTTTCCCGTCCACAAAGCAATTCTGGACTCTCCATACTAAGTCATTATCACAGCCTCACCGCTTTTGTCTTTTTCGGGCTTCAGCCTCCATGTTCTTATTAACTGACAAACCACAGATTGAAACGCCATGATCATACATCGAGCCAGAGTTAGAGCTCACTGATTCACTATGACGTTTGAAGACAGCCTCCAAGGTTGAGTAAGGAAATAGCAGAACTGACTAAAGGAGATTGATTTCAAGTCTGTCAAGACGATAGGTACAGTTGAATGGAGTTGATGATCATCATCCAATATAGCTCTGAACGTGAGATATTGGTCTTCAATTATATTTGTGTGAGTTTGAAATTCCACGATACTGTCCATGAAATAATATTTCATGATGCGTCCATTTTTTTGCCCCCAGCTGTCCCAGTATGCCAATGCTGGCAAGAAAGTAAGCCGAATTGCTTCAAAAACAACGAATTTCACTGGTACTGGTTCTCACTAGATTTTCAATAAAATGGTGAAATGGCGTAGTAATCGATAATGTGGTTTCTCCGTACAGCGACGACAAGTGACTTGCAGGTCGTAAGAAAGAATAGCGCGCTAAATATCACTTGCTGTAAGTAACTGATGTCCCAATGAAATGACTTTGCATTTGGAAAGTGAGTTAATGCTGATCGTGATACCCGCTTCTAGCACATACCATTCAAATGCTGCTAATTTAATGATAACCTGAGTGGAGATTAGGTTGTTTGCAGTAAACTTGACCGGCGATGGGAAAGCACATGTTTGCACAACGAGCACTGTCAGCCAAAGAGACGTTGAAAGAGCCTCTACTGTTGGCATCACAAATCGACGCTCACTTCGAGGAAAGTGAATAGGGGCCAGGGCAAGGTAAGGAGCTGAAAGACTGAAGGTCCATATTGCCACAGCGAAAGTATACAACGTTGGTATGGTAAACAATAAGGTGCATAGCACTGTTAAGAGTGAGAATTATTCAATGCTCAGAGAAGTAAGAGGTTGACGAACTGTACACCGAAATACCAAAAACAACGATTGCCAAAGATGTTTGAACAATGCGCGCCACACGATACCAGGGGATATCCAATGCCATCGTGTAGGGAGAGCTCAGCCGGGCAACATGCATCTCCTGGCGTGTATGGGAAAAGAATCCTCTCTGCGAAAGATAAATTGAGTTGATGTGCTCACTTACTTCTTTTCAGTTCTCTGAATTGCGAGCGACGGGCTGCCAAGACCTAAACTTCTATTTTTTTTTGGATGTGATTATTGATCATGCCGAATGCTATCGACTTGTTGAACGCAGTGCCAAGACTTGGTGGTACCACCCTTGGTAGAACACCCAATCGCTGCTCAACACCCGCTTGTGAAGCTGTTCAAACCCATTCAAAAACTAGTCATCAGGATTCTGCAATGCGGGGTTTTGATAGGGCCGTTCTTTCGTTCCAATACGGACTCAAGCATTTGGGGGTAACCCCGCATCCTTATTGCTGGATTGAGACCTACAAAGATCCATGATATCATATCATCACACAGTACACACGCTGCAAAACAGGATGATCACTAATCGCCCCGGATCACCTGGGCAAAGCTTTTAGTTGTCACTCACGGGCGAGAAGATCCAAATCTCAAATACATTCCTCGTCAGCTGGTTACAATGAAACTACCAAGTATTAAGTATTAGAGCAGACACGCGACTATTTTATCCCGTGTAATGCAGATTCACAACTGAATGAAGAGTAGTGTGCGATTTCAGAATTATTGGTGGTCATCTCCGTTGTTCGCAATTGTGTAAAGGATACTATAATGCAACTTCTACAAGGAATGTTTGGTTGTTCCTAAATTACCGTATTGTCGTTCCTGTCTGGCTTCTGCCTCATTGTACCTTGTATACGGAGAGGGAGCGGGGGCCGGGGGTCTTCCTGGAACGGAGAGGTACATGTACGGAAAAGGGTACAGACAGTAGATACTCAATGACAGCTTGATGTTGGTTCAGTAAGACATCATGCCCTTCTTACCCTAACGATCATGGCTATCGGCCGAAATACTTTCCGGCGATGACGGGAATAAAGCTTAGATTGGGGGTCCATGGGGAATATGGCATCGGACTTTTCCTGCTCATGGCATCCCATATCAACATACAACACATCTGTAAATTGTACAATGTGTACACATCGTTCTTTCCAACTGGTTATCCCAGCAGAGAGTAATGGCGTGAAGGTGATGCCTCAGATATAACGAGGGCTGCGAAAAACAGAGACCGATCGTTTTGCTGCGATAATTGTAAAATACACCTCTTACCAACTCTTTTACCACGACGAAAGTGGCATTCAATGACCGTTGGCGACTGATCAAATTGTCTCCGGTCCGCAACGGTATAGGCCTGAATTCTTAGGATCTGACCAGGATCTGACCCTCAACGCCGTGAGGCTTGATCAATTTCCCCGACCAACTAGTTGATAACAATTACCATTTTCAAATGGACTGGCAACTGACCTCTTGAAAAACAGACGAATTCTAGTCAATCTGGCTGTGTTGATTGAATTTTGTGATGACCGTAAAACTCAGTAGTACTAGACCTCGCCATGACCGGTGCACGGTTAGGCAAAGCCTAACCGCACCCCCCAACCGCACCGCACCGCATACCCGCATGGTTAGAACGCTGTCAACCGCAGAAAACCCGTTTTGCATAACTGACTTCATTAGGCCATGCCAACTTTAGTACAGGTCTTTTCGATCTCTTTCAACAAGATAAGAACACAGAGCGAGCGCTTACAATTACGACGGATAATGCGTCAAATAATCAAACACCGATGTCAAGTATCCACCAATCAGTGCAATTGCTAGGTGTTGCCAAAAACGCGACTATTGTTCGAACTCCATGTATTGCCCATGTGGTTCAACTCAGCCTCGACCAACACTTACGCAATATGAAGGCCATCTCTTCGTACATTCTGGAAGGAGAACCAACAAAGATACCCAGCCCTCACAAACCTCGCTCGAGATATTCCCTCATCTCCTGCGACCGGTGCAGGCGTCAAGCGACTTTTCAACCCTGCTCGGGACATCTGCCATTATCATCGAGGGTTATTAATGCCTCTACTATCCAAGAACTCATGATGTTTATGTGTACGTTGAAGTCTGATGTTGAAGAGGAGCAGTTCAATTTCATGAAGGAGTATATTTCAATCGAAGAGATCGAAGTAGCCAACGAGGAGAGAGATACGCATACTCAGGATGATCTCGATCCAATCAGTGACAACGAGGAAGATGATCAATTTAACGAAGTTGATCGACTCGGAGTAGTTGTGCATGGACACCCTCCTACGCAGCCATCACTCCTGCTTACCCAAGTCAGAGGGCCAACGGCTGATAACGAAGACTATTTGGGGAAATTGAAAGGACGGTTGAAATATTATTATCCTGGTTCAAACCCAGAATTTTCTTGGGTGATTAAAATTCGGCTACCATTGTCTTTTCTATCGCATCTTTCCAAAAAGAACATCGTACTACGGAATACGCCAATAATGTCTCGCCTCAATCATCCTGACCGGATGATTCCCAAGTCTTCAAAGCATCTCCTCATTATACTGCTATTAAGTTCTTGTTTTACAAGTACAACTATGGGATATGACGGGTAGTTTGCTCAATGGGCTTAACACTCTGCCTTCCTACCAGCAATACTTTGATTTGAACACCTCGACAATGGCACTTAGTACCGGATCAACTTGGATTGGGAATTTGGTCGCCAGCATCGTATGCGCCAAGGTACCGGATTATATCGGCCGCAAGAAGACGCTAGTATTTGGCTCCTTGCTATCAATAATTGCTGTCATTCTGCAGACAGCTTCCCAAAATTACGCCATGATTGTCACTACTCGAATCCTTCTGGGTCTGAGCGCTGGAACAACTTCTATTGCTGGCCCGGTATACTACCCTGAAACTCTCCCACCCAAGTGGCGTGGGCTTTCTCTGTGTTTGATCTATGATTTCTGGTACGGCATCCTTATCCTAGCGCAGGAAATATGCTATACAATGCTCACGGACTATAGGTACGTTGGTGGCCTGATTGCGGCTGGCGTTACATACGCGACGGCCTCCATGGATTCTTCATGGGCATGGCGTCTACCAACAGCCCTACAAGGAGTCTTCACCCTCCTCATCCTGATCCTCCTGCCGTTTATCACCAAATCTCCACGCTGGCTCGCTTTCGCAAGCCGTGAAGAGGAAAGCCGATAGGCCTTGGCTTATATATACACCAATGGGAACATTGATGATCCAGTTGTGCATACTTAGATAAGCATTTCAGCATAGAAAATATCAGATTCAACCGGCCATAACTCCATGGCTATTGCATTTAAGAAAATGCGGATTGAAGATTCAGAATGCCAGGGTATTCAAGCATGAGCACAGTGCAGCTTCTAGGTCTACATGGTTGTGGTTATCGCAAGTTGTGTTGAAGAAATCGTACATGGCTTCACTTGAACTAGCGAAGGAGAAAGTGAACAACGATGGTACTTCCCATGTCGCGGATGAAACATCAGCTTTAATGTAAGGATTTTGGTGTAAACATTTGGATGCTCAATCTCCTATTCTCATTCTATGCCTCGACCAGAAGAAGTACATCGACCGCCAAAAGATCGAAGCCCAGGGAACCAACTAGCGAAGTCCAAGACCACTTACAAATATCCTTGATATCGGCCCTTGAATTTGTGTTTGTGAGATTCGAACTGGCAAAAAGCAAGGCATCAGATAATCTCTCCCCGACAAAGCAACTAGTACACCAAAATCTCCTCATCTTTTCCTCCCCCGTCACTCCATTTTTTAAGCACCTTCTTCATATCCGCCACAATATTCTGAGCATAGTCAGGCCCAGCAGCCCCGGCAGGCAAATCCGCTGGGTTCCCCCTCACCCAAACAACGGGTTCTTTAGCAACACCCGCGAATTTCTTCTTAAGCTCTTCAACCTGCTGAGGCTCATAGCCGCGACCGAAGATTACCGCGCGAGGAGGCCGGCTGTAATCGTGGGTTCCGATCTCATTGGGGCTCCGAGACTGAGGATCGCGACCTGCAAGCAGATGCGGGAGCTCAGCCTCTGCAGCCTCGTATGACAGGATGAAGTGGATGACTGAGGAGCATTAGCACCATACTTTTTGTTTATTTCAGGAATGTATATCAAGAACCTTCATATTCAGGCAGCAGGTGCTGGGAGATTGATTTCCCCATCGCGGGTATTTTGCCGCAGGCAACTACTGGCATCGGCTGAGTGAATGAAGACATGTTGCGAGAGCTGTATGCTGTACGCTGCGGATGAAGGTATTTCGGAGCACTGGAGATGGAGAATTATGGAGTAAGCTGAGGTCGATGATTCGATTTATATTCCTCGTTGCGGCGCGCTCGGTCTTGATGATGAGTTGATGACGTTCGGACGGAGCATGAGACCCCATTATCTCCAACTCCAGCCAATTTCAAAGTCCATAACTTTGGGCGCAGTTCGGGCCAATGGTGGCGACCCACCGATTGTGGCGACCCACCGATTTTTCGATTATTCAACAGTCCCGACGCCCCGACCCCGATGAGTAAAGCAACGCCGTCACGTCCTTTTCGCGTTCTCAGATTATCCATTACATCACTGCATGTCTTCAAGATAAAGAAAAGGCCTCAAAAGCAATACACGATGGTCGAAGCAATGACTGACGCGCCCGCTCCTCGCAAGAGAGGCCGGCCACGAGCTGGGACGGACAATCAGCAAGGTCCCGAGGTGGGTACATCCCGAACAACTACAGAGCAAGTTGGAACTGACTCAAGGAATCCAGAGACGTCGAAAGCAGCTTCGCGTCGCGCAACAAGTATATCGCAAGAGAAAAGATACCACGATCGTCAATCTGCAATCTCGCGTACAGGAACTCGAGTCGGGCATCGAAGAGCTCAGCGAGTCGTTCCTTTCCTTTAGTGATCTTCTGTTAGAGGCTGGGATTCTCCAAAATCAGCCTCGTGTCACAGCTGCTCTGCAAAAAATTACACAGCAATGCGTGTCGCTTGCCAAAAGTGGCTGCGACGAAGCCGAACAAGCACCTGCAGCCCCGGCGGACATATCGCGATCGACGTCTCCCACGCTCAGCGATACACAAGATATAATCTCAAATCACAATCCGCTCATAACGCAACTTGATTCATGGCCAATGATCGGTGATGCTTTCCAGTCCTCGTCGGACCTCGCGGCTCAATGGCCTGGACTGTCACAACTACCCCCCACGCCACCCTTCCAAGAACAAGCAATTCTACCGTTCGGAATAGTCTCGTCGTCTCCGAATATCCCCTTCCCATCCATCCCTAGTCCCACCTTGAATTTCCCGACCATAGTATCGCCCGACAGCCTCTTAAAGCAAGGGCGCTGGACGCTCTCACACCGTCTGGTCCGACAATGCTGCGAGACCGGTTACTATCTATTAACAAGATCATCTGCAGACGATCCAAGGGTCAAAGCAATCTTCGGCAAACGATTGACCATCGACGAGCGTGACCGCTTTATCTTCGGATTCTTCGCCAACATGCACGACGAAATGGGAGACACGGTCGAGTTGAGTACAAATGTTCTCAGTTCAAGGAGGAGCAGCTACTCTCCTGAACAACTCACCGTTTCCTCTCGAACGTGGCAAATTGTCAATGGATCGGGTGCTGATGAGTGGATGGATGCGAGTGGTGTGCAAAGGCTGCTACAGCAGCGAGGGATTCGTATTCAGGACCCGAGCTCGCCCCTCTCCAGTCCCCGGTTCAATTCGGCTCCGCAGCTCAACGCCGCGAGCTTCACTAAATGTGAGTAGTGCCGAGATCAATGGTTCTTTGTGTCGTCTTTTCCATGCATCTACTGACCTTGTCGTAGATCTTTCCCTCGGCCCTATCTGTCTCGGTCGCGGACCAGCGTTCCGAAAGCGCGATGTTGAGAAAGCCATTCGCCTGGCAACTCTTGATGGATGATCCTTGGGCGTTTAACGCTGTGTACGAAATACCATGAATTATGTATAATAACAATAATTGTCTTCAATAGATATAATCTCCGCTTACTTTGCATGATGCGACGATTACAGCAGGATCCCGCTGTGGAGTTGAGGAAATCCTTCCAGTGCATATGTTCCCTATGTCCGCGAAATTTCTTTAAAAAAGCGCCCCTTGCATCCCTGCCCTTCATTTCGACTGTCACTTTAGCGTCTAGGGGTTGGCCTTTGAAATCCAGGGCCGGACTCCAATATCACCTATATTTTCCATTTACATTTTCTCCCTTTTTGGGTCACACAAATGCGCAGGCACATTTCTAGTCACGTCGACGCCAAATAGAGACTCTGTCATGGATCACCCCATTCTTATCCTTGCCCACAGTGTGCGTGCGCTCTGGCTGCCAGTACGCCACTCTCTCCAGGCCCGCCTTGCTGGGCTCTCGCAACGGGTCCGCATCGACAAGACCCTTATCGTTGTAGGAGATCTTCTCACCGGGGTGGCTCAGATGCTCCATGTAGGTCTCGGAGGGAGAGGCAAATGGAGGGCCGGGGGCCAAGGGGTCCTTATGACGAGGAGATTCCAGACAGATCAGACTGCCTGCAGGTAAGGAAGCAAGGAGTTCGGTGTGTCGGAGAGCCCATTTAGGACGGAGCTCTGGGTTTAGAGCACAGAAAAACTAGATGGTTGTTAGAGGGAAAGTCCAGAAAGACCAGAAGGATCCAGGGTGGGTCGGAAATGGCACATCAAAATTCTAAAGACAGAGTGAAGCATCTTGCAAGTCCCTCTGTAGGACGCAGAATACAAGTGGAGAGAAAATAATAGCAATGACGGAATGGAGCCCGACAGCGGCATTGGGTATACATACCGTGTAATCATAAATGACATCAAATCCATTTCGAGGTACTCCAATTTCCTTCAACCAGGTATCATCAAAAAAATCCCCCTGGACGAAAGTGACCTTGCCTTTCCCAACTTTCTCATCTCGCACGCGGTACCGGCTATGGTTCTCCTTCTCCTCCTTCTTGCACGCTTCGACAGCCGCGGCGCTGCACTCCAGGCCATAGGCATCATACCCAAAGCTCGCGAATAAGAGCACGTCGACTCCACGTCCACAGCCCGGCACCAGGGCCTTCCGCCTCTCACCGTCCTGGGCGATGGGCCCGCCAATGGTGCCAGCTCGCTGGACCAGGGTGTCTTCTAGCACGGGGTTGGGGAAGCCACGATCCCAGGGCAGATTATCACCTTTGTCCCAGAGGGAGGCCCAGCCCTCAACATACTTGTCCCCTTGATATTTGGCCCAGTATGCTTGAATATCCTTGGGATCAATGTTGGTAGGAGTCGTCATGGCTGTGGGGTGGTGATGGAGTCGGGGGAAGTTAGAGGTGCTCGCTCTGGCGTGACAGTGATAAACAGGGTAAAAAATTAGGAATAGTACAGAGTGACCAGAAACTATTGACTGCACAAGGAAGTAAATGATACTGGGTGCACGGCGTCTGTTCTACTTATGCCTCTCTTCACCCGTGATTGAGTGTCTTTACGCTGTGGTTAGAAATCATTGTCGTTGGGATAACCTCAAGCTCCGACCGCGAACCAATAGTCAGGTGTTGGGTCGAAAGTTAATCAGTCTTTACCTGTTTATTCATCATACCGAGAGAGAGCTGTTGAGAAAAGTGGAGGTTTCTACTACAGTGGCATGGGATTGGCCCAGGCGGAAATCTTGGGCCCACCGTCGTCCAAGAATTACGCTGCTCACCATTTCTAGTCACCATTCTTTCCCGACATTTTTTCCCTGAAGGCTTAACTGTCATTGGGGCTGACTACAGCAACCCACACTCGCTCAAATCTGCCATGCAAAGTCAGGACGTTATGAGTAGTAGTTAGTGGCGGTGGCAAATTAATAATCAAGCCGACAGGTTAGTTAATAACTTAACTTGGGACCAGACAAAGAAATTCCCATGGAAGAAAGATGAGTATGACCATTGAGGATAAGTGGGTTCAGTCGATCTTCATTAACGCACTGAGTTAATTTCTAGTCGTTCGACCATCGTAGCTCGCAATGAATGTGATTGATTAGTCGGATCAACTGTCGATCCACGGGGCTAGGGATTATAAGGTTAGACCCGCCCAAATGGGCTCCAGCAATCAAGCCTGGCTAGTCATTGCATCTACTCCGTAATGAGTTAGTGAGTTAGTTACTTAACTAGAGCTAGGAATGTATAGTAATCACTCCGAGCGGACATGCCTGATGATTCAACAAAGACGGTTGAACTGACTGTTAGGATCCTAAAAATCTTAATACACGAGATGTTCACTAATCACCCCATCCGTCGAAAGATGTCCCATGCTCTTCGTTCAGCACAAATAATAAGGGATGACACAGGGGGCTTCTTTGGGCTCCGGGCCTTGAGTCGGATTATTAATCAGAAGTTAAGTTATGGTCATATATCTCATTACTTTATTGTTCTTATATCTTGTGCGTGATGTTGCTACTCTCCCACCGGCAACTCCAGTCGTCTGATCTCCAGCGCTTTTTCCCATCGAAGTTCTTCTGCTGTCAAAGTCTGACAAATTAGCGAATCCGAAGAACTACAACATGGAGGTCAATCGCGACTCCGAGAAAGCGATGTACCAGGCGAGTTCGCTCGGAAAGCCCTCCGGACGATCTCCCTCCCCAATGGCGGACCCTATCGTCAACTCCAGCGCGGAGCAGTCAGACGACGAATCTGGCCAAAAGACCGACCCCCGGGACATCTCACAATGGCCCATCACTCCAGATATACTACAAATACGACAACGTAACGAGACTAACGGTGGGAAATCGAAGAAGCTGGGTGTGACATGGCGGAACCTCACAGTAAAGGGCATCAGCAGTGATGCGCTTTACAACGAAAATGTTCTCTCTCAATTCAACCCATTCGGGAAGGGCAGTAAGAGCCCACCCCTGAAGACTATTATCGACAACTCTTCTGGATTTGTCAAACCCGGTGAGATGTTGCTTGTTCTTGGAAATCCAGGAGCCGGATGCACAACACTGCTTAGCATTCTATCAAACCACAGAAATGGCTTCGCAGAGATTACTGGCGACGTCTCGTTCGGTTCCATGACTAGTCAAGAAGCCAAACAATATCGTGGTCAGATCATCATGAACACAGAAGAGGAGATCTTCTTTCCAGCTCTTTCAGTTGATGACACCATCGACTTCGCCACACGTTTGAAGGTGCCCTTCCACCTGCCACCGGACATCAAGAACGAGGAGGAGTACGCCCAAATATACAAAGAATTTCTCTTGAAGTCTCTCGGTATCACACACACAAAGGATACCAAGGTCGGAGATGAGTTCATTCGTGGTGTTTCGGGTGGCGAGCGCAAGCGAGTGTCCATTCTCGAATGCCTTGCGACTAGAGGCAGCGTCTTCTCCTGGGATAACTCCACTCGTGGTCTCGACGCGAGCACTGCGCTAGATTGGACGAAAGCCATGCGCGCCATGACAGATATTCTTGGTCTCACTACAATTGCCAGTCTGTACCAAGCTGGTAATGGCATCTACGAGCAGTTCGACAAGATTCTGATTCTCGACAACGGCAAGCAGATCTTTTACGGACCTCGAGATGAAGCTGTGCCATACATGGAGGATCTTGGCTTCCTATGCGACCCTGCAGCCAACAAGTCAGATTTCCTCACGAGCGTATCGGCGCCTGATGTACGCACAATTGCCCCAGACTTTGAGGACCGGTTTCCTCGATCAACAGAGGAGCTGCTCGCTGCTTATAACAACTCGCCCATCAAGCCAAGGATGATGGCCGAGCTTGACTACCCCAATAGCCCCGAAGCTCAGCAGAATACGGCGGACTTCAAGGAACAGGAGGCTCAAGACAAGCACAAGAACCTCCCAAAGAAAGCTGCGGAGTCCGCAGGATATTTCCATCAGGTGCAGACGGCTACCATACGCCAATTTCAGATCCTCTGGGGCGACAAGCAAACTCTGTTTATCAAGCAAGCCACAACTATCGTTCAGGCGTTGATCGGTGGCTCACTGTTCTACAATGCTCCGGACAACACGGCGGGCTTGTTTATCAAAGGAGGCTCACTCTTCTTCTCTCTACTATATCCTACCTTCATCGCTCTCGCCGAGGTTACGGATTCGTTCGTTGGCCGACCTGTTTTAGCCAAACACCGAGACTTCGCTCTCCACCATCCATCTGCCTTTGTCTTCGCCCAGGTCATTACCGACATCCCGATCATGCTCTTCCAAATCTCGCACTTCGGAATTGTGCTGTACTTCATGACTGGATTCCAGTACACTGCCCAGGCTTTCTTCATCTTCTGGCTCATCAACTTGATCTCGGCCCTGGCTATGACACAGCTGTTCAGGTTCATCGGTGCCGCTTTCCCGAATTTCGACGCAGCAACTAAAGCTTCTGGATTCACCATCGTCGCTGCCTTCACATATGCAGGATACATGATTCCCAAGCCCGACATGCACCCTTGGTTCGTTTGGTTCTTCTGGATCGACCCCATGGCCTACGCGTTCGAAGCATTGCTCGCGAACGAGTTCCACGACCAGGTGATTCCTTGTGTGGGCCCATTCCTGGTTCCAAATGGCGAAGGATACAGCCCCGAAACAGGGGGCGGACAAGCATGTACCGGCGTCCGTGGTGCGCCCCCTGGAGCAACCAGCGTTACTGGTGACCAATACCTGGCTTCGATGTCCTTCAGTCACAGCAACCTTTGGCGCAACTTTGGCATTCTCTGCGCCTGGTACGTTTTCTTCGTGGCAATGACCGTCTTCTTCACTTCCAGGTGGAAGCAGATGGGCGAAGGTGGTCGCGGCCTCCTCATCCCCCGTGAGAAGCAGAAGAAGGTACCTAAGGCCGTGGTTGCGGATGAGGAATCCCAGGCTGTCGAGAAGCCATCCGAGAACTCCGGCTCCGATTCCGAGAAGTCTGACGCAACCATCGACGACCAGCTCGTCAACAATACATCGGTCTTTACCTGGAAGAATCTGACTTACACCGTCAAGACGCCGCATGGCGATCGTCTTCTTCTCGACAACGTTCAAGGATTTGTCAAGCCCGGTACGCTCGGTGCTCTTATGGGATCTTCAGGTGTAAGTGCACTAGCAATGCGATTGACAGATGGATATATGCTAACATTTTCACTCAGGCCGGAAAGACTACACTGCTCGACGTTCTAGCTCAACGCAAGACTGATGGTACTATTCATGGCTCCGTTCTAGTCGATGGTCGCCCGCTCCCTGTGTCCTTCCAACGATCTGCTGGCTACGTCGAACAGATGGATGTCCACGAGTCATTGTCCACGGTACGCGAGGCTTTGGAATTCTCTGCTCTTCTTCGTCAGAATCGTGAAATTCCCCGCGAGGAGAAGCTCCGCTATGTGGACACGATCGTCAAGCTTCTACAGTTGGAAGATCTCGAGCACACCCTCATCGGTCGCCCTGGTGCCGGTCTTTCTGTCGAACAGCGCAAGCGTAAGTCTGAATCCATCGAACAGAGTCGAGACAGACACTAACAACTTATCAGGTCTCACAATTGGTGTTGAGCTCGTGGCTAAGCCCAGTATTTTGATCTTCCTCGACGAACCTACTTCTGGTCTCGATGGCCAAGCTGCAAACAACACGGTACGCTTCTTGCGCAAACTCGCGGAAGTCGGACAAGCTGTCCTCGTCACGATTCATCAGCCATCGGCCGACCTCTTTGCCCAATTCGACACCCTCCTCCTACTGGCGAAGGGTGGCAAGACCGTATACTTTGGCGATATCGGCCATCATGCAAGGACCGTCAAGAAATACTTCGCTGGTCATGGCGCACCGTGCCCCCGAGAGGCCAACCCTGCTGAGCACATGATTGAAGTCGTATCAGGAAGTCTTTCTAAGGGCAAGGACTGGAACCAAGTCTGGCTCAACTCGCCAGAACACGAGAAGATCACTCAAGAGCTTGACACTCTTGTCGCCGATGCTGCCGCCAAACCGCCTGGAACTGTCGACGATGGCCATCAATTCGCAGCGCCCATGTGGGAGCAGGTAAAGCTTGTCACGCACCGCATGAACATCTCCTTGTTCCGCAACACCGAGTACATCAACAACAAGCTCATCTTGCATATACTCCTGTCTCTTTACAACGGCTTTTCGTTCTGGTCGATTGGTAACAGTGTCAGCGATCTCCAGCAACGCCTCTTCACGGTCTTCAGTTTCCTGTTTGTCGCCCCCGGTCTCATCTCCCAGCTTCAGCCTATCTTCATCGATCGTCGCAACGTGTATGAGACGCGCGAGAAGAAGAGTAAGACCTACCACTGGGTGCCATTCGTCACTGGCTTGATCGTTTCTGAGCTGCCCTACCTGGTCGTCTGCGGTGTGTTGTACTTTGTGTGTTGGTACTGGACTGCTGGATTGCCAAATGATACCAAGTGGGCAGGCAGCACATTCTTCGTCGCAGTAAGTTCTCTCTTCTTTGGTTGACTCCTCGCTCCAACTAACAAACCGTCTAGATGTTTTACGAGATGTTGTATACCGGTATTGGACAATCGATCGCCGCGTACGCTCCCAACGCGACCTTTGCATCTCTCGTCAACCCGCTGGTCATCACTACCCTCGTATCATTCTGCGGTGTCTTCGTTCCTTACTCCCAGATCACGGCGTTCTGGAGATACTGGTAAGCCTCATACCATTATCAACACCCACGAGACCAATGCTAACATCACATTTTAGGATCTACTACCTCGATCCCTTCAACTACCTCTTCGGCGCCTTCCTCACCTTCACCACCTTCTCCGTCGATATCACTTGCGAACGGGGTGAGCTCGCGGTCTTCAATCCTCCTGCGAACGAGACATGTGGCGACTATCTCTCCACCTATCAGCAAGGCATGGGACGTGGCACGAACCTTCTGAACCCAGGCGCTACGGAGAACTGCGAGGTGTGCCGATACACTACTGGACAAGACTACTTGAAGACACTCAACTTGAACGAAGAGTACTACGGCTGGAGGAATGCGGGGCTGGTTGTATTGTGGGCTGGAGTGTTCTACGCCCTGGTGTTCTTGATGATGAAGTTGCGAACCAAGGCGACGAAGAGGGCGTCTGCGTAGACGAATGGTGTTTGTTGGAAGAGTGAAAGATTGGCAAGATACCCTACTCGAAGAAGAGTAAAGACGGAGTGCGAAGTTGAGCGCATACGTGTTAGCTTCAGGTGTGGTATTGAAGCTGCACAAAGGAAGATTCAAATCCTAGATCATAAAATTGCGCACTTGCGCCAAGCTTAGACTGTTGTAATAGTTTCATTGGGTAATTAAGGCCATATTGCATTCTCAAAGCTTCCTAGCTATGGTGACTGGTGATCTGTTGGGCGCGAGCTGCCTGGGTTCGCCTCCTGTCCTTCCAGCACATCGGCAGAGCGGAACATATTTTGTAATCTAGTCTGAGAGGCTCTTGGTTGATGATTTCTCCTTGTAATCCATGTCATGATCCGCGCGCTTCGCTGCTCTCTCCTCTTGCTCGGCACACCTTGCTTCATCACCTGCCCTAATATCTTCAGGAGGTGTTTCCGACCGTTTCCGCCTTTTAACCACCTTAGCAAGGGATCGCTCGCCCAGTGCTCGCTCTACTTTGTTATCCGCCGCATCTAGATATTGACAGAGTTGTATCCCAGAGATGTATATATCCGTATCTTCATCTCCCATCTTCTTCTGGGCAAGTTCCTTGTAGGTGAAATCGCTGAGGCGGAGCCGTAGGCCGGGATGATCGACGGCGTTTCCTAGACCGGATTTTTCGAGCAGATGGTCGCAGAGCGCTTCTAACATCAACGGTGTTACGGTGCATCTCCGGCCTACTCTGGTTGGAGGGGCGTGGACGCTTCCGAACTGCTGTAAGTTTCTGCTAATATTTTTGATCGTAGGCTTGCTGCAGTCAGCTTCTTCGGCCATCTGAGAGGTTGTGAGTGACTGGCTCTCTATCATATCGCGGATGAGGTGTAGCTTGGATAGAGGGAGTCTCGGCGCCATGTTGCGTGGTGCAACTTGAGACTCGCTCCAGAGACAAGAGGTCTTCACAGGACGTAAAGTTAACAGCACCACAGGAGGGCAGGGTAGGGAGCAGGCGTATTGCAGTTTCGTGTAAAATACGCCAAGACAGGTTCTGTGAGCGTCACATAAAATACAACTTCTATTCTTGGAAGCGCGGGATCTGCAGCCAACCCATATGTAGACTAGCGTGTTTCAAGTCAGGGTTCGGGAAATAATTCGTGAGAGAGTATGGGGTAAACTGATTTCGAATATTGCTGTAAGACCCGAAATAAAATCGATTTCACGGCAAGAATTTGATTGTTCTTTTCAGTCTCAGTCTCTTCTCTCTCCATCGCGTGGTTAGTAAGCGGCATTTCTGTCTTTGGTTATACTGGACGTCCGCCCGACTAATTCATCTACGTAGGGGATTCTTACAAGTTGTACGAGCTAGTCATTTGTATTGTAAGCTTCGCGTATTGTGGTAGGTTAGTATTGTCATTTTCATGAATGCCGTTTATCTGGAAATGAGCGTCGAGTAAAAACTACCCGCTAATGTCTTGGCAGTGGGGCAGTGATAATACTATTGAGTGTTCAGGGTGGAAGCAGATTTCGCTAATGACTGTATAGGACATAATAACACATGAACTATATGGAGTTACAGTCACTAGCGAAAACAGCTTCCACCCTGGACAATCACTTTCTATTTCCGAGCGCCACTGCCAAGACACTAGTGCTTTTCTATATTGGCCAGAGACCAAAGGCTCAGATGCTCGCTTCTAATGATTAACTTGAACCCGCCGCTTAAGATCAAGAACAGTGCAATACATATAGACAGGTAAACCTTTGGTGATGTTCCGCTCTATGTGGGCTTTTCTGATCTTTTTTAATCCTCGGACCACAATAGACGTAGGTGAGATTCCTAAACGCTGTCATTTAACGTCATATAGCAGTTAAAGTGCGATTAAGTCGGTCACAGAACAAAACGCTTTGAAGCAGCAACTCCGCATTGATCACAATTCAGTCTCAGCTTTCTAGTAAAAATAACCACACATTGCACCTAATAAGGCTTTGTTGATGCCGTACCTCATCGGGGTACAGGAAAGTGCAAAACCAGCTTCACCGTTTCACACTCTTGCCTGCATTCTGGGCCCCACTTCCAAGACGCTAGCTCAATAAACCGAGTGCAGAACATAGGAATAGTAAATAGTTCAAACGCGTTACTTTACTATCATTTCATTCAATCAAGCTTTATTATGTACTCAACTCAATTTGTTAAAAAAGAAAGGAACGACTCTCGGAATACGAAAGGGGCTTCATAGTTTCAGTCTAAGCGACGATGTCAACGTCTCTGAGCAGACGATGACCTTTATAAGCTTCTAAATTGGACACACAAAGAAAACGGAGAATGGGGATAATTTACACAATTCACACACGAAACTTGAGGAAGGGAATCCGTCCTGATTTGTGTCCTAAAGCAAGTGCACCACGCTTGGTCGCAGAGCACATAGGCCGGACCTCGGTAGGAAGCCAGAGAACCTTTTCTCCATTCAATTTGATCCACTGCCTGTGCTCAATGGAGATATTCAGATCCATGTAATGCGAATTGAGCCTAGGACAATCATTCTTTCGCTGAATATCGAGGAGGCCTTAGGGTTTTAGGGTTTTATCTCAAACCTTTTTTTCGGCTTGTACAGAGAAAAAGGACCGAAGAAACCCATCAAATGGCCACGTACCGATGGAGTGTGGTCTGGAAGAATATGATCCAGAATCTGCCTTGGGCCTTAGCTCCAGCTTTGACCTTCGTCGTCTATGCTGCTCAAGGAAAGGAGCTGAAAGCTACCAAGGCGTTCAGCAGTCTGTCCATTATAACTCTTTTGACTAACCCGGCCTCGAAGCTATTAAGTGCGATTCCTTCCATAGCGGCTTCGTCGGGATCCTTTGATAGAATACAAGCATTTCTTTTACTGGATACCAGTCCTCAACACACAACGGAGGGCCTTTATCGCACGAGAGAAACGGAAGTTGATGCATCTCCGCACATCGCCGAAATGCAATACATGTCTTTCAAGGGCCCACCAGACACAACCGACCTTCAAACCCCTGTCATCTCAATGAAAAATCTCAGCATTCGCCCATCCTCATCGGCAAAAATTGGTTTGAGAGATGTTAATTTAGAAGTTCCTCTCGGAGCACTGGTCATTATCCAAGGGCCAGTTGGGTCAGGAAAATCGATGCTGCTTCGGGCTATACTTGGCCAAACAGTTTTGCGAGACAGGATCAATGACAGTGACCATTCGACAACCGGCTTTTTGCGCTCAAACACCGTGGGCCCCAAGTGGCACCATCCGTAATATAATCTATGGATCCTTCTCAGCGGCTCCAATAAGGGAGGGCGCAATTGATAAAAAGTGGTACGAGGCTGTTCTTCACGCATGTGACCTCAATTCGGACCTGGCTCTCCTTCGCGAGGGAGACAGCTACGCGAATTGGACACGGATCTGGTCATATACTGAGCGGTGGTCAAATGCATCGGATCGCTCTTGCTCGAGCGGTATATGTTCGCAAGAAGCTTTTGCTGTTAGATGACATATTCAGTGCACTGGACCGGAAAACCAAAGGTAATATCATAGCGCTTTTTTTGGGTGTTGATGGACTGCTCCGAAAAGCAAAATCGACCATTGTTTTGGTGACACATGAGAGTAGGACCCCCTCCAAGGTTTGTTTTGTCCCCTATTATGAGCTAACAACCTAGTAGTGGAGCAGATGCCTGATGCAGATCGAACTTATTTCCTTTCAGATGGGCGTCTTGGTCAGGAAGAGCCCTGCGTGGTGAATGTCTATCAAGAAATAAGGTCTGACGCTGTGGAAGCTGAGGAGTCGAAAGAATTCCCGGAGTTGGCGATAGAAGATAAAGCCGCCTTGATCTCCAAGGCGAATAAGATTCACGATCTCAGGAGGGCAGCCGGGGACTCTGCTGTTTATGCGTATTATCTGCGCTACGTTGGGTGGACGAACGCTGCGATATTTGTCTTTTTCGGGACAATGAATGTCTTCTCTAACACGTGTAGTCGTACGTAGACTTTCACTTGTGCTAATTCCGATATCACTAACATCAGCTTTCTACTAGAAATTTGTCTTAAGCGATGGGCTGATCGTGGTGGAGGCCAAAAGGCACTCTATGTCTCGGTGTATTTCTTCCTTGCCTTTTTCAACACTGTCAGCAATGGTGGTTATGTCTGGTAAAGCACTCTGTCTCATAATACATGAGGGCTCACTCCTATCAAAATTATAGGGCTATCCCTATTTTGGTCTCACCCTCAATAGCGCGTCGGCTTCATTATGTCGTGCTGAAGACTGTCATGATGTACTTTCAATTCTCTTTTCTCGCACATCAGTCAACTGCTGACACCTCAGGGGCTACCCCTCAATTTCTAGTTACTGTTGACATCGGGTCAATACTGAACTGATTCAGCCAGGATATGACCTTGATAGAAAGCGATTTGCCTTTTGGCATCTTAATCACCGTCTCAAGTAAGACCCCCGCCATTCTACTCAAACTTTGGAAAGATTTTCTAACCAGTATCGCTTGCTAATCATTGATCTTATGGCTGATGGATATAGATCTCTTTTCGTCAATTGCCAATGCTGCCCTAATTGCAACCGGGTCGAAGTACTAAGCCATTCCTGATCATCTCCCTCTTTCTCTTACAGCATTTCTATCTGAAAACATCGCGACAACTTCGTTTACTGGACCTGGAAAGCAGGAATCCGTTGTACTCCCATCTTCATGACACTATCGAGGGTCTTTCTACAATTCAGGCATTTGGCTGGGAAGCAGACTTTCGAATTGCTAATTCAAAATTGCTGGATGCTACCCAGCGCACGTATTATATGCTTCATTGTATTCAGCGCTGGCTCACTTTGGTCCTAGACCTCATCGTCGTCAGCTTAGTAGTGTCTTTGAGGCATACAACGAGTGTTGGATTGCTTGGAGTATCGCTCAACAGCATTCTTGGTATGTATTCCTTATGAACTTAACTTTTCTGATACTGCCCCTTGAAGGTCCTGACCGGTATATAATTACCCAGCTGACCTTTCTTCGTGAAGCTTTCAGTGGTAGTCTTTCATCTCTCATATCGGGTTGGACACAGTTGGAGATATCCCTTGGCTCAATTTTGCGCACCAAAGATTTTGAACTTCAAGTACCACGTGAAGTCTCAACTGAGCGGGTAGAAGTTCCCATTGACTGGCCAAGTCAGGGAGCTATTGAGCTCTCGGACATGGCTGCACAATACAAGTACGTACTTCGCAGCATGTACAAAACCATCACCACATTTGGTTCGCATTATTAACAAACCACGAAAAGTCCTGGAGTAGCAGTACTAAGCAATGTCTCTCTGAAACTTTTGCCAGGACAGAAAATCGGTATCTACGGGCGTACTGGGAGGTAAGTATCATCGCCTTCAGAGTCATATTCAGCGTTAGGATTACTAGTCCATGCTAACTTTCCACCGCGCAATAAATCAGTCGAAAGAGCTCTTTACTATCATCATTATTGGGCATGCTCACCCTGATCCGCGGGTCAATTGTTATCGACGACATTGACCTCACTACTGTCTCCCCTGATATAGTCCGCGAAAGACTTGTCACTGTCTCCCAAAAGCCATTCATCATGATTGGCTGTACAGTCAGATTCAATCTAGATCCCACCGGAATCCTCCCGGATGGAGAGAAATCATCGCGGCTCTCGACCGAGTTGGGATCTGGGACGGCGTACTACTCGAAAGAGGTGGGCTAGATGCCGAGATAAACGACACTCCATCGCTATCCCGAGGCGAGCAACAACTGCTACAATTTGCTCGTGCAATGTTGGAAATACAAGCAAGCAACGCTAGGATCTTGTTGATTGATGAAGGCACCAGCAGCGTCGACACGAAAACTGACGCCCGGGTGCAAGGCCTTTTGCAACAGGATCCCATTCGTGCATGTACAGTGCTTACGGTTGCACATCGTGTCCACACTCTTTTGAGTTACGATTTGATTATCGGTCTAGATCGGGGAAAGGTAGTAGAGATGGACAAGCCTACAGTTCTGAGTAATCGGAAAGATAGCATCTTTAGCAACCTTATCAATAGCGGCAGATAATAGTTCACTAAATGGAGATTTGGAGAGCGAGGCCAAGCTATCTAAATGGCGATCCGAATAGTGTTACTGAGAAAGGTGTATATGGCCACAAGGCATAAAGCTTGCGTGGGGATCTCTACGAGTTAGAGAAGGGACCTAGGGCGACTGTGTTATGATTTATCGCCGCTCTCAGTCTTTCTAGCATAAACTTCAACGTCAATATATCTGAGTTAGACTGTACATATACCCCTCTATAGGTTTTTGTTATCACGAGTCCTGCAGTACTCGCATTTTCCATTCAGTACCATGCTAAGATCGCCTCGTTCCAGGCAGAAATAGAATTCTTTCCTTAGTGGTATATCATCAAGGAAGGGGCTTCCTATTCCGAAATCCTACACAATTCACAATATAAAAAAGCAAAAGTAAAATATTAAATTAAAGAATTGCTTATCACTATACCATCTCCCTCTATAGCTCGATATAACCCGACTGAACTCTGCATGCTATTCGCACTTTCCCCGGCGGCTGGACGTCCAAAGTTACGGGCGTAAAGGCAGCCGTTTCTGGCTTCAAAAGCGGTCAATTTCGGCGCCAATCCCACTGGTCCTCATATTCTAGTTGTTATTTTGCAGCAGCAACTTTGCTCGTTGGAGATTTCTGAGATTTTGCCCGGCACAATGGACAGAAGTTAATGTCCAATTAACTCAAAGGATAGGAAGACCCTAACCTGTAGTTCTAGTAGACTACAGCCACCCCTGTGAGATAGGGCAGTGGTGGTGGCGTTACAGGATGTAATTACGTAGAATTAACATAGACTACCTAGTACTTTGTCCCACACGTTCATCCTACCATTTTTATATAAGAGCCATCATGACACCATCAAACAGCATTCTTGGTCTCTTGGACGTCCACATGTGCCGTGACCTTTTTCTTCTCGTCGTCCTCATCAAGCTGTTTGTGAACGGCTGCAGCGACCTCATTGGCCTTGTCTTTGTCCTCGAACACTGCTTACGTTAGCTCTGTCTCTTGCAGCAGAACAGGAAGACCACTTACAGAACGACAGCTCCTCAAGAGTGCGGCCCGCAGTTTCGGGGAAGAAGAAGTAGATAAACAGTAGCTCAAATACCAACCAGCAGCAGTACACCAGCAGCCACTTCCAGGCGATGCGCGCCAGACCAACCGGGTTCACGTAGGTGGCAAAGAAGCCTGCGCCGCGGCCATAGAACTGGAACCAGGCGAGACCGCGTGACCGGCCGACGTAAGGGAACAGCTCGACCAGATACGCTTGTTCATGTCAGTATATACACAAGTTATAAAACGGAAGGGACACGCACTGTAGGTTAGGGCGTTATAGCCGAGGTTGTAGGCGGGCGAGTAGGCGAAAATGAAGAAGATGGTCAGAATGGCTGCGGATTGAGCCTTGGTGCTCATGAAGCGCTCCATGGAGATGGTCCATGCGATGTACACACACAGCAGGCAGCTTGCGCAGGTCAGGTACATCGGCCGACGCTTAAAGCGCGGCGCCGTCAGTGCCAGCGCAGTGCCACAGACGAGACCCCAGCAGGCGATGCCGATGTTGATCTTGGACTTGGTCACGCCATCGGTGATACCTACCATGTTCAGGAGGTCGCTAAGATAGTACCTATCACATGGATCAGCGAAGGCGAAAGGCATATAGGGCAGATGCCACAGGCGGATGCTTACGAAATGAGCGTGTTGCCGGACCACTGCGTGAACAGGCCGAGAAAAGCGGAGATGAACAGTCGACGACGCATACCAGCCGTGCGGAACATGTCCCACCAGGATTGTTTTGACTCTTCGAGCTCCATCTTGATGGTGCGTTCGATCTGCGCCAGTTCGGCCTTGACAATGACCGAGCTGCGGTCGCCCTCCGCGTGGTACTTGGTGAGGATGTCGAAGGCGTCATCGTAGCGGTCTTTGCTGATCAGGTATCGGGGACTCTCGGGGAGGAACCTGGGCGTGTATTAGTGAGAGCAGTCGGGATAGCGGCGGGGAGCGTCCTACATCACCGTCACGATCTGGACCGTGGCTGGCGCAATCTGAAGCAGAGATGGGATTCGCCATGCCCAGTTGGACGAAATGGTCACCGTCCCCAGGCCCACGGCTGCCGCGATGACCTGGCCGATGAAGTAGGAGGAGTTGAACAGCGAGGTGAGAATCGGTCGTTCCTTGGGGTAACCCAGCTCTCCCAGCAAAGACGACCCTGCGACGATGCAGAACGGGATTCCGAATCCTAGAAGGATACGCGCGACAATGTACATGGCCACTGGGAACCGTCAGAGATGTCACAGAAAGGATAAGGAAAGGTATGAATGCCTCCATTGGAGAAGCCCTGGATGAGGGCCCCGACCAAGCTCATGCATGAACCGAACATGATCGTCCATCGTCTTCCGACTCGCTGGTTGAGGTATGGGACAAAAGGCAGGGAGATAATAGCTCCGAGGGAGTATGCAGCACCCAGAAAGCCCTTGAGGTTCGCTTCGATCGCGTACTCGTGGCGTCCATCCACGATGTTCCCGGTTGCATGACCGAAATCTAATCGCGCCGTTAGTCTCCTGCAGAGCTCATCATGGATCGAGAAGACATGCACTTGTTCCAAGTATACACAATCTGGACCGTGTTGATAATCTGCGAGTCGAATCCCGACGTGATCTCGATACCCATACACGCAGGAAACAGGATGAAATAGAGTCGCCTCAGATTCGGCTTCTTGTACCAAGGCGTACGGTCATCGGCCAGCAAGTTAGTCAACACAGGCTCGGCAACATTCTCCTCGCGCTGTTTTCCAACCACGACCATGTTGAAAGGCTAATGTTCGGGTGATCACAACAGTGCTGATCCGTGGACCCCTGAAGACTCGCCGGGAGCAAATAATGATTATATATCCTGTCCGTTCTATGCTCTTTACCCAGCGCGAGGCCCCCCGGCCCGGCACGTTGGCCCAGTCCCAAACAGTCATGATCCGTCTGACCCATCAGGTTATGCACAGGCGGGCTGGAGGGCTTCATTCTATCGTATCGATGAAGACAATCCGGGTACGATCCCCGCTGGGGGGATTATAGTTTCATCACCCCACGGGGTAACTGGAGGCCGGTGGGGTGGGGTTGGGGGGAAAGAAGGCCAGGATTCTGGCTTGCAAGCTCGCCGCCAATCCCACGAGAGTCTTGGCACTGCATCTTACCTTATATAGAAGGCCATAGGGACTTCGCGGAGTCTCCCCGAGACCCTCGGGCCAAGAGTAAGACGACGGTCGCCGCTAGTTCGCTAGTGTGGGAGATGCGTTGCGGATAAATACTCGAAGAGAAACGGAGCTGTAGCAGCTCTCCTGTACGGAGTAATTTGGCTGAGACAAACTGTCGAGCTAAGAGGTGGTATTCTACCACTAAGAACTTGCTGATTCAGCGACTACCCACTCCCGACGTCTTTCATATGTTTTTGTAAGGTAAACTGGGTCATCTCGGAATACTCGCGTTGTAACACGCTAGTACTAGCCTCTCAGGCTATGAGGCTCTCAACAGCGATCTCCAGGGTAGTTCTTCAATCAACTCGTTCAATTGGTCCTTCAGTACTAGCATGTACAGAAATCCTGCGATCCGTTGCAACCAGATGCACGTCTTGTGTTTTGTTCTACAATTCCAAATTGCCATGCATCAGCCACTCCAGCAGCACACTTAACTCCTTGATCCCGCCGCCCTCCTCGCCCCAGATCTTCAACCGCTCAATCACCACACGCACACAGTCCGCCCAGTCGGGAGGAATGCTCACATATTCTGCCGAGGGGCGCTGCGTCAGCTTTGCGCGAAATCCCGCAATCAGGCAAAGCGCATGATTGAACCGGACTCGACATCCTCCCCATGACCCCGGATGCCGGAAGAATGGCACCTCGGTCTGGATGCGATAAACTGCCAAAAGTAGCGCCTCGCTCGCTCTGACCCCATACAGCACCGCCATCCCTGGGTCGAGCGGTACATGGATGCACAGGTATAGATACGCGCGGCAGAGCAGTTCGCGCACCTCGACGTATCGCTCACGGCTTAGCTTCATGAGCTCACTCTCCTTCGGTGCAGGGGCGGATTCGAGAGGCATGTTGAACCGAAGTGTATGTGGAAGACAGTCTACCCACTGCTGGAGTTGACCTTCCAGCTGCGTCAGAGTCTCTGCCAGAACCTTGATGCTCGGCAGGTCGATATCCGGGGAGATCACACGGACCGCATTGCGGGCCCGGTTGAGAAGCCTGCGCAAGAAGATCTCGGCCAGGTAATAGTAGGAAGATGCTGCTTCGAGGTCTGTGGACGAGGGACTGGAAAAAATCCACCCAGGGGCGTCGGTAGATGGATGTCTCGTGGGGAAGCTCGGGAGAGAATAAGGAAAGTCGGAGAGGCTGAGGTCACATGGCGGGAGATCCGTCAGTTCATATCGAACCTCACTATTATATGTCAGCCAATTGTGTGAGGATTTGAGGTGTGTTGTGTATGTTATACCATTCGGATTTTAAGCATGTCCAGTAGAGTCGCTGCTCCAGACCTGGGGGGAGTTAGGCATATCCACAATGGAGAGATTAAATCACCCACTCTCTTCCTGCGCACTTCTAATCATCTTCCCCTCGCGGTGCTTCAAACGATACGTTTGCCACAGCATGGATGCTGTCCGGAACATTTTCCAGCCCGGAATCGGCTCGACGTTATACTGATACCAAATTCTACGCGGGAGTTAGACATTCGTATCTCGGAGCAGTTGAGAAGAAGGAACTTACCCGAATAAACAGAGACACTGCACTCCCACTAAGGTATCGTCGAGATACGCAGTGGAGATGCGCTTACGCGCCATGGAGAGGAAGGTCAACGATTCCTTCATTCGGTGCTCCGGAACCGACATCGTCACGTAAGTGACCGGTGGACTGAATGATGGTTCATTGTACGAGACCTCGCGGGTTTCGTCATCGGGATAATTCCCCCAGATGGCCGCAAGCGCAAAGATAAGTAGCACCAAGCACGACGAGGCGGACCAGTCAATGCCATTTTCCAGCACTCGAGCGATATGAAAGTCCAGCTGGTCCGGGTCAACGATTGGGTTCTTGGTCCAGATCTTGGTCCTGAAAATCTCGCGCAGTTCGAGGAGCCTTTGGGGATCTAAGCTTGGTAGAGCTGTAACCGCCCATTAGTATCCGATTCTGGGATATGATGGGTCGAAAAGACCATACCCGTCTGAAAGCGATCTGGCTTCTCGGAATACGCTGCCATTGGAAAAGTCGATACAGGCTTCTCTTTCGGAAAAATAGGCCAGCTGAGAATCATGTCCGACCCGGTAATAGGTGTCTTGGGCGCATCGTTGCGCGAGATTGACTCGGGATCTACTTCGTCCACTGGGCATGGCGACGCCTGCTGCGATAAAAGAGGAGGCCCCCAGTTCAAAGACAGCCTCTCTGACAGAAGCCGCTCTTGACGTTCTACTGCGTCTAGGATTCTTGCGCCCCATGTATCTAGACTTTAGATAGAATTGGTGGTCATTAGATGCCTCAGCTAATGGAAAAAGCTCTATGGGAACCGACACTGAGATGGCGTCCGTCTCCGGATACTCGCAAGCTACACCCCGCTGGATACATTTGGCACATACTGGCCGTGCTGAATCGCATCGAGTCTTGCTGAGACGACAGGCATCGCATGCGGTGAGCACCCGAGTATTCTTGCGAGGTCGCGCAGTCGACGAAGGGTCCATTCCTCCTGCTGGGGATTCCTGCAGTCGGACACGGGATACTCAGAGAAAGATATGTTGGTAAAAGGCCAAAAGAAAAACGACGATGTCGGTGACTGGTGATGGGCTAGGCGAAGGATGGCTGAATCACCCCTCCAAGCAAGCCAAGACCTCATTTAGCCGGGAAATTCACCCAGCCAAAGCCGGATGAACCCTTAAAGTCCCCGCCAATACGTGGTGCGATCCACTTGGAATTTGCCCCGGGCCACCACTTCCTGGCTAGAGGTTCCAATCAACACTTCATACGTCCCTTGCTCGCTCTTCCACATGTCCTCGATCTCGTCCCAGAAGCTGGTCGCATATCGGTCCAGCTGGATGTCAACCGTTCTTTCTTCCCCAGGCTGCAGGAATACTTTTTCGAAACCGTGCAGCTCCTTGCTTGGGCGTGGTGTTGGGGATTCGGGGGCAGAGATGTACAGTTGGAGAACCTGGGCGCCCGCCAGTTTGCCCTTGTTTTTGATTTGTACGGTGGCGACCGCAGGACGGTCCATGTTGAAGATCTCCGGGGCGACGGTAACACTCGGTGAGATCTTGAAGGTCGTGTATGACAGGCCGTGACTACAATACGTTTAGATGAGATATGGTTAGATGAGACTAGGAGACGAAGGAACCAACTCACCCAAATGGAAAGAGGACTTCTCGTCCGGTCCTCTCGTAAAATCGATAACCCCCATAGATGTCCTCGCCGTAGAGCACTCGGCCACCCACGCTGGCGTAGTTCAGGTAGGCCGGGTTGTGTTTCACATCCACAGGCCAGGACAAGGGCAGCTTTGCGCATGGATTGACCTCTCCGAAGATGACATCGGCAATTCCATGACCCGTCTCGTTACCTCCGTACCAGGCCTGCAGGATGCACCGGGCCTGATCGGCCCACGGCATGGTAACTGGTGTACCGGACTGATTGACGATGACGGTCTTATCTGCGGCGGCCTTCAACACCTTCGAGATCAACCGGTCAACTCCCGCTGGCAGATCCATATGCGTGCGATCGAACCCTTCAGATTCCCAGTCTTTGTTGAGCCCGGTGCAAAGAATGGTGTAGTCGGCCTCTGCGGCAGCTTCCACGGCATTCTCGATCATTTCATCCCGGTTCATCCGTAGACAGGCCCCCAGATTTGCGGCGCCGCCACCGAAATTCACCGTTCCCACCGTTTTCGTTGGGGTAGTGTTGGCAGAGCCGAACTCAATCCGAATTTTGTATATAGTCCCAGCAACTAATTCCTTCGATCCTAGCTCCTCAACGGTACCTTTGCCGAAAAATGCCGTCCCGCGCGTCTGGCTCGTGGTGTTATCTATCACGAGCTCATCGTCAATGTAGAGATTTGCGGCACCAAAGACACTCAGGCCAAAGTCCCAAAGCCCGGAGGCGTCGGGCGTGAAGTCGCCAATCAGTGTGGCCCAGAAGAGCCCTCGGTTGAGGCCGGGAGCATAGTAGTCCATGAGCTGGAAGGCCGTCGTCGATACAGGCTCAGTGCTGATTAAACGTCGTTCCTTGCCCATCGGCTCGTTGTAGAATTGAATGACAGCATTGCTCAGCAGACGGTTTATCACGGGGAGCATCTTATGGACGTATGCGCCCGCTTTATAGAGCACCTCCGCGTTAGGAAGGGCTTCCCTGCAGGCGTCGTATAACGAGACAGAATAATATGGCTCAAGTGACGCACTGCCACCACCCGATATTGCGGGAGTCTTCATGTGAGATCCGATTAGGGCGATCTTTTTGATCTCCCTTGGAAGGGGCAAGATGCCTTCGTTCTTGAGAAGGACGATGCTGTTCGCACAGATTTTGCGATTCAGTGCTCTATCCTCTGGGAAATCCCGTCCTCGCTCCACTTCTGACACTTGGACCTGACTCGCTTGCTTCACGAATTCCAACACCCTTCGCGCTCGTGCATCAATAGTCGATTGCTTGATCAGTCGAGCCTGCACGGCGGACTCGATAAACTTTCCCCGATATCTGGACACCCCCGGCATTTCCAGGTCAAGGCCCGCATTCATGGAGTCGATGGTTGTGTAGGTCCCGTACCAATCGCTCATAACCAGCGGATTCCACTTCCACTCCTCGCGGATCAGATTGAGCATGCGCGCATCTTCTACCACATGCTTCCCATTGATCTTATTATACGAGGTCATGAGCGCGCCAGGCTTCGCATCTCTCGCCACAATCTGGAAGGGTCGTAGGTAGATCTCGCGCAAGGCTCGCTGGGTGACGAGGACATCCACCGCCCGACGTTCATGTTCCTGGTCGTTGCCCACGAAATGCTTCACCGTGGATATGATCCCTTTGCTTTCGCATCCGAGGATGATTGATTTGGCCAGAATGCCTGAGAGATGCGGATCTTCCGCAAACGATTCGAACCCGCGGCCACCGAGGGGAGCGCGTTGCATGTTGATTGTCGGACCCAGCCAACAATGCGCCCCTTTCGCAATGCACTCGTCACCCAACAGCTTCCCGGCTTGGAATATCAGATCTCGGTCCCAGGTGGCGCCCAGAGCTGTGCCGCAAGGCAAACATGCGGCGGGGATGCCGGCAAAGAATTTCGTGCCCCGGATACCATTGGGACCGTCGGTGGCGCGGATTGAGGGGACGTTGAATTTGGGGATAGGATGTGTGTGCCAGAAATCAATTCCTGCTTTTGTTAGTGGATGACGTCCCCAACGATCAATCGTCTCTGTTACCGGATAAAAGAGCGATCTTGTCCTGCTCGCTGATGTTCGCTAGAACATGCTCTACATCGAATATCTCCGGCATAATGAACACTTGGAAAAAGAAACAATGTCAATAAAGAAAGTAAGCTATGCCTGTGACCTCTACGCAGAGCGAACAGAAGCAGACTATGCAGCGATTACATATAAATGCCTGCGCAGTTCACCGCGTCGATCTTTTTACGTCGAACCCATGTTTCGATGGGACCTCTGGACGCTATTCCCCTGAGTCCCGACATCCGACATCCCGAGACACCCAGCGACGTGTTGACGGCGGAGACTCCCCGGCTTGGTGGGGACCCGCGAGGATCCCCGCATCTCCCCTATAGCCCTATCCGCGCGCTCTATCGGGGAGGTAATTAGTTTAGTAAACGCTCGTACGGTAAACTAAGCGATTTAGAATTAGGATTACTTAGAGGAGTGCGATCAATAGGAGCTCTAGTAGTCAAAACCCGGCCTTTATGGTACGCTTATATAAGCATTGCTCGGATTTTTTACATCTTTCCCTATAGTATTTATGTCTATAGATTATGAATCTTTAACTCATTTATTTTTATCTATTTTATTTAATTTATGGTCGTTTCAAGGTATTCACCTAGGTGTTACTGTCACGGAGTCTGCAGGAATCTTGCATTGATCTCTCGCAACCACAGAGGATCGACATCGTACAGGTGTCGACACTTCAGCGTTGGCTCACCGCAACGCTACTCTCTATGTTAAATAGCCCTCCCAGGAGAACCCTGAGGTTCTCCAAGAATCAGTCTCTGTATTCCTCCAATACCACTTGCTCCTCAGGCATCTTCATCTTACCTAACGTAATTCACTACCGAGCCGGCCACACCCCCGAGCCGGCCACCCCAGAACACCATAGTTAAAGGCAGTTTTTGATAAACTTATATCTTAACAACTATAACTTCATTTTGATTAATTAGTTGTATGCATATATCGATAAGCATATCATATCATGTCTAGGATTTTCAAGCGAATCAAAAAGCTGGATAACAATGATACCATAAATTACGCTGTAATTTAGCTACTTTTGCTGTAGAGATATATATCTTGAATACCCTATTATAAAAATTCCCTAAACCTTGTAGAAGAGCTAGACTATGTACCTAGTACATGATCCTAAAGTATGAAAAATATATAAGCCCCTGTTGTCAGGATATAGCACAGTAATCTATCGCCTTAACTATGGTGTTCTGGGGTGGCCGGCTCGGGGGTGTGGCCGGCTCGGTAGTGAATTACGTTAGCTGACAGGCTCTATCTTGTAAACACCAGAACCCTTCTTACTTTACAAGACCTTAGTAGTCTAACGAGAAAAAGAACCTATAGTCTAGCGGACCCCACTTTTTTGTCCCATATTGAAGGGAAGACCCTAAACTGTAGTCTAGTAGACTACAGCCACCCCCATGGGATAGGAGGGTAATTGTTTCTTAAAAGTAGTGTCGTCAGGTATTATCCTAATTCTAACGCTGCTATGGCTGCGGGGCTCTTGGGAGGGGGAGGTGGGTTGTGGGGGCGCGGGGGTGGTTGAGGCATACTGTTTAACAGTATTGCACCAGTCCACATAACATGCGCCTTACGTTTCTATCTCGTCTTCCATGCCAGTTCATGCAAATCCTTTCAGCTGCAGGACATTTAGTGCAAGACGATACTAAGGAGTCACAAACCGAACGGCGGCGGAAGGATTCCCAGCATTGACGTTTTGGTGACACAGAATTGGATATATAATGACTTGGTTGCATTTGAGTGTAAATTAGCCGTCACGTCCGGTTGCTCCCAGCAAAAGGCCCGGAGAAGAGCTTACATCATCCAGAATACATCCTTGTCGAATGAACAGTCGGGTATATTGCCCCTCTCAGAAACTGGCAGTGATCCAAGTGATGAGTGGTATTGTTCGGGGGATATATGAAGGTCTTCCTGGCGAATTGTCTCTATCGTTCCGTCCCAACAGGACTCGACCTTTCTGTACTAGCCTTTCAAGACACAGGCTCGCCGGCGACGCATACAGGAGTTGTCTCTTCACATTTGTGGATGGAGTCAACGAGGAGTATCATGCCTGTCACCTTCAAAACCTCTCCTTTCGATCCTTTAAAGTGCTTTTCATTACTTGAGAACCTGAATTATGGTAGAGGAAAGAAAAATTCTATTAATTTGATAGACTTATCTTAAGGAGACAGCTTCAACTTCGTCGATTCGTTTCCGTAATCTTTCTTTGGGGGCAGGGTCACCAGGTTTCGTTGAGCCTTGATTTTGAACTGCAACACTTTCAACAGGGAGTAAGTATACGCCAGCGTCGGTACAGGCACGCCTAGTGCGTGTGCTTCCCTAACAACCTCCCCGACAATGATTTCCATTTCTATAAAATTACCCTTAAAAGCGTCAGAATGAGATCAATCGAAGTTGTTATGTGAGACTTGCCTTTTCAATATCCTGCTGCATACTTGGTCTGAAATACGCATCGAGTGCATCGCCGTTCAATGAGTCATCTTCCTGGCTCGGAGACAGCTTGTGACCCGCAGACCGAGCAACGCTTTTGACTTCAAGCATGATGGGGAGCAGAAGCTCCGATATAGCGGAACCGGAGAAGCGAATTTTGGAAGTATCCATTCCAGTAATGGCGCAAAGAGAATTGTACGATGCGTTATAAACCAATTTGCGCCATCTCATGAATTCTACTTCCTCGGTATATTGTGCCGTTGCCTTCCCGCTCGCGCTATAGAGAGTGGTAAACTCTTTCGCAGCCGTGAGCTCGCAATCACGCTGTACATTTGGGTTTCTGAATGCGCCAATAATCAAGGTATCATGGTCCTGGTGGAAGATTTCGCCGGGCTTAAGCTCGGACGAGTTCATGCGCGAGATACCCGATATAACCACATTGGAAGGGAAACGGGCGATGATAGGCTTCTCGATATTGATACCATTCTGAACCAGGACGATATTCGTGTGGCCGGCGGTGATTGCAGGCGCTATGATTTCAGCCACTGTTGGAGGAATGTCGGGAATATTCTTCGTACAGACAACGACAAAGTCAAATGGAGTAACTGAGCCATCCTGTACATTTAGCACGCTCTTGGAGACTATTCGGGGTTTGTCAGCCTCAATGCAGCTATTGGAATATTAGGCATCGCTCGTTACTTACTGGATGTTGGCCTCCAGCCGGAGATTTCTCCATGGTCGCATGACGATATCTTGAATCCTTGTTCGCTGACCAAGTCATAATTTGACCTTAGCACTCCTGTCACTGCTGCGAGACCCCCTATCTCCAAATTGTATGCTGTGATCGTGCCGATTCCCCCTAATCCAACCACCAGAATGCTGGACTTGTTGACTGATCTCATTGTAAGTTATATGTAGCAACTATGGTTTTCCTTGAGGAAGACAAGCAGAGGATATGGGTGCAATATAAGCCCTATTGTTTCATCTAAACCAATGTTAAACTCGAACGCTCGCGTTCCAGACACACGGAAACTATTTTGGTAACCCATATCTCTGATAATGATCGAGGGGGCTTTCCCCAGTCCGTACTCGACCTTATCAAGTTTATTGCTACAAGATCGAGGTCAAATTTAATTCGATTCGCCGGAATTCATGAGCTTCGAACAGTTCGAAAATTGGTGCGGAGCTGTAACCAGTGAACACGCTGGATGAACTCATAGTTGGCTTGGCGATCAGCACAACCCCTCTTTCCCCCAATCTTAAGAAGCCGGCCTATCTCCGGTTTGTGACCGGAATGAAATTTCCTATCTAGGTCAGATTGGAAGTAACCCACTCTCATCCCCCAGCTCAGATTCTCACTGAACGAGATGAAAGTCGGTACTAATGATGATTTACCCATGGAGTACAGTATGTAGAGCCGGATACAGGTGTACCTGCGAGTAATTGCATATTTCAACAGCCGGTGCAGATAAGACAATCGCACACGTTGATGCCTCCCAGAGAGGGCCGGATGCATCGCCCTAGGCTTCAGGTCCCAGGCATAGTAATCTAGATAAGGTGGTGTCTATCAACCAGAAACCGCTATCTTTCACTGATGTCGGTTGAGCTGGTAGAGCAGCCACATAAAGGTCGACTACTTGGCATGTGCCGACAGACATAGCAACATACAAGCGGCTTATGACCGTCCCCTCAGTGGTATAAATATAGCTACTCGATATCTGTGAATTATTGTTTGTCCATTCATATCCCTGATATTCGCCGTCGCTCACCATGGCAAACTCAGCGGTAAATGATGACAGCAAAGCCTCTCCATCCCTCGAACTCGCCAACATCACCAGCCATACTGACGATAGAGATCAGACTGATGGGCTTGACGATGCGTATTTACACGCTTCAACATCTACAAAAGTTTACAGGGGTGTCCTGTTCCAGATGATTCTGTTCGGAGCGTAAGTCCACATCTTACTATCTTCAGAATAATGCTCATAGAATAACTTTGTACATAGCCTCTCGTTCGTTGGCCCAGCCATGTCCGACGCAATATCCAACCTCGGAGGTGGCGGTCTCTCCACCCCATATCTGGGCAACTTGGCGAACTCGCTCGACTACGCGGCTTCGTGTTTGATAGCTCTCTTCGGAGGCCCATTGATAAACAAGTTTGGTATCAAGTGGTCCTGCATGATTGCTGCGGTGACGATGCCTCTTACAGGGTCTTCTTACTACGTCAGTGCAAAGTACAGTGTAGATTGGTACCTGCTCTTCTCAAAGGTGAGAATAACTCATGCTGCTCTCCAAGGCGTTTCTCGGCCTAACAATTTTATAGCTGCTCGGGGGATTCACTTCGGCCTTCCTCTACGTCGCTGAGACGACGGCAATGCTGTCATACCCGAAGCAAGATGACAGGGGTTTCTATTTGGGTAAGTAACCCCCGATCCTTACGGACGAGACATGGATGCTCACGATTTGGCTTAGGTATATGGTCTGCCATGCGAAGCTCGGGCAGCGTCATGGGCGGTGCAATTAACTTTTCCACGAACTACTCCAAATCTTCCGAAGGAGGCATTGCGTGGTCTACGTACCTTATTTTTGTGGGATTCGGTGAGT